TTCAGCAAAATCTCTAGCGCCCCTATTTTCTCAGCCATCTGTCCCCCTTCCTCGTCCCGTATTACGCTCTCTCTCGTCACTACCGCGCCTCGCCTCTTTTGGTCCGCTTTCGATGCGCGGAAAGTCACCTCTACTCTGTCTGCCCGCCTTCTTTCGTCCCACGCTAGCTGACACGATCCTTCGAAGAATACGAGGTTCCCTCTCGTGAGACAAAAATCGGCGTGTACTAAGCCGTTGTGGTAGGCCCACAGCTCAGACGCTCGGCACAGCAAGAAATACGAGAGAGCGATCCCCATCCACGTCACTAGTCTGAAAGCATCCGTCTGCGCTCTTTCTCTCCTCGCTATAATCATCAGCACGGTGAGCGGTTACCTTACCAACGGTTTAGTCTCTGCCCTCGCATGCAGTCGGTCTATTGCGTTCGCGACAGCTACTACTCTGAAGTGCGACGTGGGCAGCTCCCAGCCTGCGTACAGTTTATGGAAATACTGGATAGCCGCGAGGTATCCCTTCATCGTTTGGCTCTGGTTCTTGTACACTAAACACCTCGACGCCATAAACACAGCAGTCAGCTCTCTTACTGCGCTATTCACACCGTCCTCCTCGTACAACCATGGACTCAGATTCGCTTTTGCTCTTTCAGCTGTCCACGTGTCCCACTTGCTGTGGTATCCTTTCAGCGTGCTCGCGTTCAGGGATCCGTGCTCCATGATCCTGAGGAGCCTTTCGCCTTCGTCGCTCGTTCCCTTCGTCCCGTGTTCGCTTCCTGTACTTGAACACATTAGAGTCATTGCACCTTCTTTAGTTCTTTTGCTCATCGTTCTCTTCTTTCTCTGATCACGTCTTCTCTTTACACACTTGCCATGCGGCTCCATACGAGGCCATCCATTCTTTGGTTCTGGAGTTTCTCTTGCAGTATCATTTCAATTGTTTCTCTTGCGGTGTCTCCGATGTCTTGCATTCGCCAGTTATTACTGTGCGTGAGTCTTTCCACATTGACTTCTACGTCCTCTGACTTCCATCTAGATATCCCGTCCGCGAGGGTATTCTCGCGTCCTGGGATGTGTTTCGCCACGTGACACCATCCGTTTTCAATCTCCATGCGGCCAAGCAGCCTCATGAGCAGTCCCGCTCGCCTGTCTCTCGAGCCCCCGCATCTGTTCACCCATGATACCGCCGACACATTGTCTCCCCTCATCATGATAGCTTGTCCGGGGTGCGTCGGCTTTTCTCCCACGACCATTTGGACCACCCAGCATGTCATTATCATTCCGAGCAATTCTAGCGTGTTGATCGTGATTGCGCTGGTTTCTTTGGCTTCTGCTTTCCTTTTCAGCTCCGCCGTAAACGCAGGTTTAAATCGATACCGCCAGAACACTTTTAGTTCGGGACAGTGTCCGCCTACTGCGTCGAAGCTAGCATCCGATAGGTAGTGACGGAAAGGCGTGCGTTGGACGTGGTTAAAGAAAAACGCGCTAAGCGACTCTCCTTTCTCCGCGAGTTTAACTTCCAGCGCCCATCTCCAGAAGTCTAGGTCTCCGTGGAACTCCCAACCGAGACGTACCTGCCTCTTCTCTCTCGACTGTCTGTTAGTCTTGTCGCGTAGGCCGGNAGCATGTCATTATCATTCCGAGCAATTCTAGCGTGTTGATCGTGATTGCGTTGGTTTCTTTGGCTTCTGCTTTCCTTTTCAGCTCCGCCTTAAACGCGGGTATGAATCGATACCGCCAGAACACTTTTAGTTCGGGACAGTGTCCGCCTACTGCGTCGAAGCTAGCATCCGATAGGTAGTGACGGAAAGGCGTGCGTTGGACGTGGTTAAAGAAAAA